CGTGACGCATCCGCTTATACCACTTCCGGTAACGAACGACACCAGTCGACGCCGGCTCAACACTCACTGAGCCAGCTTTCTACGCCCGATTCTGGCGATGAGGCCATCCGCGCCTGCGTGCTTCTTCTGCGTCATTTCTCTCTCGCAGTAGCGTACTACAATCCCGAGCGTCTGTCATTTCGCTTTCGCGAAATATTTTGCTCGACAATCTTTCCTTTCTCTTGTCAGTTTTTCAATTTTGTTCTCTTCGTATTCGGTCGAATCCTTAGGTCATTGGACAGTTTTTGGATACCGACGAACAGTTTTCATATTCATACAGAGATATCGATCGCGCGGCGAACACGATTTACCCCTAGCACTCTTCTTACTTTTAAGCCCGAAGCTTACGCCGGGAATTGAATGTCTTTTTTCAAATTTTGATCCACGCGACCTGGAGATTACTTTATCATTGCCATTATACGTGTGACAACAATTTTTATTTATTTATAAGTTACATGTATCGGCATCCGCAGTCTCATTGTTACATTCGTAAGGGTTCGAAAAAAAGAAATCTGCTTCGTCTCTTTCTCATGATCAACTTCATTTAATCTCCCTTTATTCCGCCTATAAATTCAACAAGGGAAGACTAACTATAAAAAAGATATCAAGTTAACTAAAGTAGAAAAAAAATTTCGTACAGAAGAAATAGAAAGTGAAATACCAATTTTTAATTTGTAAGTAACTACTTTAACTTCTGTTACTTTCTTCTAACAGAAGGGCAGAAGCAAGACGAAGGTATTGGATAAAGGAAAAGGTAGGAGCACTGATGACTTCGTCTTATTTATTAATTTAATTTCGCTGTTAATACTTTGCTTAGAAACGAATAGGAAGTTAGAATTATGGTGGAGGTTTCAAGTAAGGTAGAAAATCGTACAAAGAAGACTGAAGATGATGCGAGATCATAGTTTTAGCTGTGTCCCTATTACTGCTGATGTTCATAGGATGTTAATAGGATTACAGAACGATGGAGGTGTTAGATAAAGAGAGCGAGTCACTCAGGTAAGATAAAAATTTGCATATTTCTTAATTGCAAATGCGAGGCAACAGTGTCATCGAGTTGCTGCTAGATGGCAACAGTGGTTCGTCGCCTGTGCTAGTGTATTTAATTTAATTTAATTTAATCCTTTCGTTAGAACAAATACCAGCAGATCATAATCTGCAAGCCTGACTCTTCGCAGTGTCAGACTGTCAATTTAATTTTTATAGATTTATTTTAGATGAATATTTTTGTCTCCTTATTTTCTTCTCTTTTTAACAATTATAAAATTATCAAATGAAATTTTGACTTCTTCGATCATATGATTCGTCGAGTTGTAATTTTTTTTCTTTTCGAGTTTTAAAAAACACTGATGTATATATATATGTGTGTGTGTGTAACTATAAGACAGTTAATCAACATCTAATTTCTTCATAACATAGTGGAAAAAGGCGAGAATCGAGAAGCTGAAACTCAGTGGTATAGACGTTGCTTTTATCCACGCCCAAATGCTGAAAATTAAAAGACAGACGAATTATTTCAAATTCGTACATACGACGAATATATTTGATAAAATTCTACTTACCTGAAATCACGTTTACATACATAATAGTTATACACACAGCGTTACTTTACCTATGTTTCGCGAGGTAAAGAATCGTTAATGGAGAATAAATAACACTAGCTTGAAAATATAATTAAGTACTTAATTAGAAGAAGCGTACATAATACTTACAGCGTACATTATGAACTTTCTATTTCACACACACTTTCTAATAATGTATACAATTTTAAAAAATGTGAAATAATCAAGGATTTTTATTTCATCAAATAGTGGAACTCTATCAAGCTCTAGTCAAAGTAAAAAATCAATAGAGAAATTGTACCTACTGTACTGTAGACTTGACTACTTTATGATTGATCGATTTACTTGTAAATGTTGTCGTCCACTTTAAATGGAGAGGGGGTAGGGAGAGACCCACATTCGAAGATGACCACGGGTTTAATCGGCACATCGTCAGCGTCCGTTTTCGTCTGTTCGATCTTGAAAACTACATCCTCCCCTTGAATTACCTGTCGAGATAAAACTGTAAATTACAATTCTTTCTAAATAAATAAATAAATATATATATATATTTCATTTGTTGAATTATGAATATTTATATCACATAAATATACAAATTGTACTACTAATAATGTAATATTTATTGGATGAAATAAATTCTAATCTGTTGCTTCTTTAACTAAATTTACATACACAGTCTGCTCATTACCTTTCCAAATACAGTGTGTTTCCCATCTAGCCACGGTGTGGGCACAGTTGTAATGAAGAACTGACAACCGTTCGTATCCTTCCCGGCATTCGCCATACTCACGTACATGGGTCCATTGTGGCCAATGTCGAAATTCTCGTCGTCAAAGTATTTTCCGTAGACGCTGATCGATCCAGTGCCGTCGCCATTCTCTATGTCTCCACCTAAAAAGAAATACGAGTTAGCATAAATCTGTAAAATAATAAGTTGAATTTGGCTGTTGTTACTTTGCTTCGATCTCGATCTCGGTTACCTTGCACCATAAATTTCTTAATCACTCGATGAAACCGGCTACCTTTGTACGTTTTCCCTCCTACACCGTCAGTAGCCAAATTGATAAAATTCTTCGTCGTTTTAGGAACGATGTGACCGAACAACCCGATGACGATTCTTCCCGCTGGATGATCGTTTATCATGACATCCAGGAATACTTGATCGGTGACGGTGAGGTTGTCGTCCTGAAACAAAATTTCGGACTGGAAAAATGGAAAGTGCCTGCACTGCGACGAGAAGAAATAGAAACTTGGGACGCGTGTGTGAGATCAGCTGCATCATTGGGAAACGACAAGTGGAAAGCGTATTCTCAAAATCGCGTGAATTTCATCGGACGATTTTCAGTGTTGAAAAAAAAGTAACAACGCGACGCGGCTGCGGTGCACGCTATTCCAATAAATTCGCAATTTCTACGACTTTCACGCGCGTAAACTTGCATCTCACGAATTATACACGGTCTTCACGTGCTCGCCGAGAATCGCCGAGAATCGCCAAGAATCGAACGTGCACTGGTATTAAGGAAACCTTACGCAGCCCATCGCTACCAATCTATACTTCGATCTTCTTTCCACCCTTCTTTCGTAATCTGACGACACGCCCGTGGAAATACATTCTCTGAATTTCGTCAGGCAACTGTCACTCCTAGAAATCGATCGTAACGAACGATTTTGATCGGCAGTTCATTTGACTCTTATCTTATTGAATTCTCACCAATTCAATCTCATCGCTGGAATTCTATTTGAATTTTACTTAACGCGAACTCGTCGCTGTCTTCTTCTTCTTCTTCTTTGTGGTGGTGTTTTCTCTTCAAGAACGAGTGATGTACGACATCAAACTCTCGCGGCGATTCTTCGAATGTCGCGTCGTTCAGCTAACGGTATGCAGAAAAACGCAGCTGCGTTTCCGTCGTTAAAGGCGAAACGGTACCTCTAAAGTTGCGGCCAATGCGACCAGGCAAGCCACCGCCAGCAGGATCTTCATCGCTTTACGATTCCGTCCAGAGTGCTCCGGATTCTCTGACAGATTCAGCTTCATCGCTCAACACGGACGCCGCTTAAATGCGATCAGAAGCACCGCGTGGCGGCTAAATAAACTCGCGGACGCTTGCGCGGAGTGTCTCACGACTACGCTAATTTCGTCTGGCGGATAAGAATCGGATAATCTCGTTGATTAGCCTCGGCAAAAAATCGTAACAATTTCTTCTCAGGGATCTTCGATTTCCGATTTCCGATTTCGCCGTCGGCTTCCCTTTCGTGGGACTTTGACTTTTATTTGACCATTTTGATCGGTCGTTTGGCATTAATCGAATTCGTTCGTTTCTCGAATTTCTTGAATTCCTCGTGCAAAGATAAAAAATATAGAAAAAGGTGGAAAATATGTAAACAATCTAAAAAATGACGATTGAACTTCTCTGATATTCTATAACGAAAAGAAAAAAAAAAAAAAGAGGAAGAATTTAATTGCAAGGGAAATTTCGAAATTTCTCGATCACGGTTCGAAACGAACTTTTCGCGGGGTCAAAGATCCTCGAACCGCGATCGAGCCGGTTGGAGGAGGGCTGGTTAAGTCCCGTTACTCTCGATCGTCGACCGGCTTGAATATTATAAAAGCAGGGACCATTGTCGATTCAAGGATAGTTGCGCGCGATGAGGAAGGCCGGTGGTTCTCACGGTGCGCGTTTCATCGCGTACGCGTCCCTTCTTCTGCTCGTTGTTCTCGCGGTCGTCGAGGCGTCGGTAATCGATCGGCAGAAACGAGAATTCGTCATCCCGGACTGGATCGAGATCGTGGACGAACCTGTCCACGCGGAAAATTCGAAGATGATTCAAAGAGCGGTTCGAGTGAGGGACGCGAAGGTAACTTACGATGGGGCACAGGTCTGGAGGGTTCGAAGTTCCGAAGGACAGAAGGACCTGCTGTCGAACGTGACCACGGACTTTCAGGACACTGGATGTTCGTAAACTTTTCTTCTGCCGGTGACGGGATACTCTTGATTTCAGATTTGTTTTGACAGCTGAAACTCTTTCAATCGGAAATGAAAGAATTATTTGTTTGTTGATGCTGGTTCTATTTCTACTGCTCATCGATCTTTTTACTGTGACTTTTGCTTTCTTACTGTTTTGTTACATTTACAGCAATCGAGAATCAATCACAAATTACAAAAGATATATATATATATATAATACGATTTATATTAATTACCGTTCAATCGTTAGGAATCGTTGAATCGTTGTTCAAACATTTATTTTTCATTCCTATCCCTCTCACAGTACCATCGTTATGGACGAGGAACGACACAACGGTGGACATGATGGTTCGATTAGAGGAAATTCCAAGATTGTCTCGCTACTTGAAACAGAAAGATCTAGAGTACCAGGTAGTGATCGAGGATTTGCAGAAGGCGATAGACGAAGAGAATCCATCGCTTTCCGAGGAGGAGATGGAGGAACTGGAAGGTCGCAAAGGTTCGCAGAGGAATTTCCGTCCATTCTTTATAATAAATTTCATCGTACATTTCGGTTTTGCTTCCTGCCTCGTGCTTCCCCTGCTTGATACTCTTCCTCTTCGTTCTCCATTTCTTCGCGTGCTTCTATCGGTCATACAGTTCGACGATCGAAAGATCGATCACCGTCAGCGACGGTGGGAAACAAGGGTCGTTTCGTTTCGACAGTGAAACAACAATGTTTCACTTGTCATTTTACCTGTTCCACTGACACGAATGGCGACAACTTGTTCAAGCATTGCCTCACAGTCGAGTCACGCAGCGAAGAAAGCCGCGGGGACAAATCGTCGTCCACACACGAGCATCGATTCGAAAGTGATTTCGTTGTGAAGTGAAGTAAACGTCATCGAGTCGAGCCATTTTTAAAACATTTGCTCCGACTCGATTCGATCGCGTGAAACATTTATTCGTCCAACGACGTTTCAATTATTGCGCAATTTAACGATTTAACGATTCTTCTGAATTTATAGGCGGCCCTTTTAAAAATCGTTATTCACGGCGGCTATTTTCGACGAGAACGCGCGAGGTTATCGCCCTCGACGCGATTTAACCCGTTAACCCATTTTCGGCACTTCGACTATGCTGATTAACATTAACAGTTACACGTGCTCGCGTGTGTCTACGTGGTTGTGTGCGCGCATCTGCAACACACGTGTGACCACGCGTTTCCATCAATAATTTTGTTGTTTCGATCACGGTCCCGTTACGCGCCTCTCCAGCTAATCGATGGGACACGCGTTGGCGATTGGCTCGAGATCGGTTCGAAAGTTGCTGAAATAATCGAACAATCGAGCGTGAAGTGGAGAGAATATTTTCATTAACACTAGAACTGCCAGCGATTGAAACGTAATGTTAAAGTACAAAAAAAAAAAAAAAA